GCGTACTGCGTTGAACAGTGTCAACCCAAAATTCTTATCTACCCAGAACCTCAGAGTGTGACCTTATTAGGAAACAGGGTCTTTGGGGTCGTAATGACTTAAATGAGGTTGTGCTGGATTAGGGTTAGCCCTAAATCTGATGACTGGTGGTGCTGGATTTATGTGAATGAACACACGCAGTCATAGGGAAGAAGGCCACGTGACAGCAGAAGAGGAGACTGGAATTACATAGCTACAAGCCAAGGAATGTGAAGATTGCCAGCAGCTACTAGAAACCAGGAGAGACGCACAGAACAGGCCCTCCCCGAGAGCCTCTAAGGAGGCACCAACCCTGCCCACACCTTGATTTTAGATTTCTGCTCCCAGAACTGTGAGGGAGTCCATTCCTATGATTCTAAGCCAACCAGTTTGTGCTAATTTGTTGTGTAGCCCCAGGAAACTAACACAGACTCCTGTGTGTTACAGTTTGGGTGTAGCAGAATCATGAAACAGATAGATACCAAACAGAAAATGTGGTGTCCTGAGTACATGTATGTACACCCAGGTCAAACGTGCTCTGCTGGGTCATAAAGGCACAAATTTTATCTGAATGTCCCATTCTATTAATTTGAAAACTTTCATTTCATTATACAAAAAAACTAGCTAACGATTTTAATTTTTTAATCTTCATTTAAAAAAAATTTTTTTTTTTTGAGACGGAGTTTCATTCTTGTTACCCAGGCTGGAGTGCAATGGCACGATCTCAGCTCACCGCAACCTCTGTCTCCCGGGTTCAAGCAATTCTCCTGCCTCAGCCTCCCGAGTAGCTGGGACTACAGGCGTGCGCCACCACGCCCAGCTAATTTTTGTATTTTTAGTAGAGACGGGGTTTCACCATGTTGACCAGGCTGGTCTCGATCTCTTGACATTGTGATCCACCCATCTTGGCCCCCCAAAGTGCTGGGATTACAGGCATGAGCCACCGCGCCCAGCCTTAAAAAATTTTTTTGAGATGGGGTCTCACTCTGTTGCCCAGGCTGGAGTGAAGTAGGGTCATTATACCTCACTGTAGCCTTGAACTCCTGGGCTCAAGCTATCCTTACTTCTGAGTAGCTGGGACTACAGGTGTGAGTCACCACAGTCCGCTATTTTGTGTGTGTCTGTGTTTAGAGATGAAGTCTCACTGTTGCCCAGGCTGGTCTTGAACTCCTGGGCTCAAGTGAGCCTCCTGCTTTAGCCTCCTGAGTAGCTGGGATTACAGGCATGAGCCACCATGCTTGGCCACAATTTTTAAATCAAGTTCAAACAGCGTAACAGAAAAAAGATCTTATGCTTGGATTGAAAGTTTATGAGCGAAAAGACTAAAAAGTAGACAGAATAAACCTACTGAATCTATATCTTTTATATAAATCTGAAATCTATATAAGTGGATATGGGGTTCTATAAACAAAAGGTGGTCCTCCATGTTCCCAGACTATGTATTAGGGTAAGTTGGGCTATGCAACAGCAGTAAGTCATCACTGAGATCTCAGTCTACTAGAGCTTGCAGGTGGCAGTGCTCACTACCACTCTTCACCAGGAACTCATGCTGACAGGAACATCAACATCACATCACACACAACCTCCAAGGGGGGCACAGTAGGGAACTAGAGGATTCACACTTGCTCTTAGCTATCTTTGACCAAAATTGACACACCTCACTACCAGGAGACACTTCACCCCCAGGTCTCTTGCAGTTTTCCACTTCTTGTGAGCCAGACACTAATTGTTCTTGCTCTGAACTATCTTTTCAAAGATGTTTGTACAGTAAATGGCCTTACTAGAGGGTCTCCCTCCAGATCAAAGGGCCAGTGTGATTACGACACATTATAAAAACACTCAGGTTCTCTACACTCTGAGCTCCTCTCCTATAACACAACCCATTACGTATGCAGGCATCTCTCTTTGCATTGCCCTGGGGGAATCTGGGTTCAGGGAAATGGTACAAAGACAATGATACCCTGACCACTGCCACTGCTGCAATAAACTGTCCTTCATGTCTGATCCTGGAGTTTCATGTTTTCTATCAGCACCCATCAAATGTCGTAGGCTGATCTGTCACCCTGCAAGTAGGGTAAATCTCAGAACCTTCATAGCTGTTGACAGTCACTTCCATTCATAGCTCATAGAAAAGAGGAGGGAGGGGAAGAGAGGAGGGAGGGGAAGAGAGGAGGGAGGGGAAG